CATTTATTGTATTTTATTTATTTAATCGCCACGACACCCTAGAATAAGGTTCAGACAACCAGGGGCCACCTCACGCAGTGAGCCCATCGGAAGAGTTTTACCAGTGGAGAAACCACTGGGTTTTTACTTCCGGCTGGTATCGTCTTAGGGTCCTCACGAACCCACTAGGGGGGAAGTGATCTGTAGCGTCACACACCCCCAAAATCAATAGCCTAGGGTTTGACGACTTTCGACATTGATGCTGACCTTGATAGTTTAACTGGACTCGCTAAGCTGAAGGCACCCGGTCAAGCATCCTCGCCATTTGGCACGCTGTCGTGTTACGTTGCATTGCTCGTATTCGACTCTCTAGCCAGTTAGTTGGAACGCATCGGTATTTTGGCATAACCATCCAAATATACTATTCCATCCGACTACGCTATCGTGTTCTTCCTTGGTCTCGTATTCGTGGGTATATAACAAGTTCGAATAATTAGTGATTGGTCTTTGCGTCTGTCAAGTTCGCACCAGGACAAATCCTAAACTATTGTCCTCAATAAATTGATGACTTTGGCAAACAGGAGGATGAATGAGGGGATTTGAGCGAGATCACTCGCGAATAGTAACGGTGGAAGTAATCCAAAGCTGTCCCTTAAGAAAGTCACGTTCTTTCACCTCTCCACGTTGACCTAATTCTGTTTATCGTGGTGCGGGACTTTCCCCCCTTTAGGTATGCTGTAGACCATGTTATGAGTGGTTCACTGATACCCACCTTTGTAAGTTTTGTGAGTATGGTGTTACAGGGGACGCTTTCGAAAGCTTCGACCAAGTCCAGAAAGATAGCGTGGACTAGTTGCCTGCTGTTTATTTGTTATTTTAGTCATCCTAAGCTGTGTGCAAGTTTGTGGCAAACGACCGTGTTGGGTGGGATGAGCGATTTCATTTCTATTTTGGCAGCTCTGAGCAAAATTTGAGACCAGGCTTTCCAGTACAGTAGACAGTACGGTCTGTAATTGCGTGGTTTTTTCAATCGCCTCCTTTGAAGCTTGACGAGAAAATAGCATGCTTCCATTCTCTGGGGAGTTGATTTATTTCTAAATAAGGCTTAAAAAGCCTGTACATCTGTATGCTTAGCAGCCCGGCACAAATCCACAGGACTATCACTCCTATTTCGTCACAGCTGTGAGATTTCGCTGTCCTAAGTATTGGGGTTTCAGGAACGCTTGATTTTACGAAATTTCCACGTTCGTCACCTTCATATCCTAGTCCTAAAACTTTGTGACGCTGCTGGAAGTTGGAAGCGGACGCATCACTGTGTTGACCTGCTCGTCATATCCGCCGCCCAAAGGTTCCAACATCTCGCAACTACTCAAGTTTTCACCGTTCGCCCTGAGATAAGGTTAACACATTTATTCATTGATTTCCACTGCGCCAAAAATCGTTATAGGCTTTTTGGATTGTAATTTCGGTGTTTGGTAGGGCTACCCTGGTACTTGTACCTGTTCTCTTGAACGCATGTACTACGCCAATTCAGTAGCCACTTGAAGCCAAGAGTTTCCAACTCCCTGCACAATGTGCACCAATTACGCCATGCCCTTTTTCTTCCATGTACTTACCTTTGGGTTGTGCCAGGCACTCAAGAACATATGACAGATTGTCGTCTGACTACTTATGAAACACCCTTTACCATGACGCCCCAGGTAATATTTCCAAAATGTATTTAGCTATCGTTCATCGATAAAGGGTGTCATTCTTATGGCGTTCAAAATTTATTCGTAACGGGGTAATAGTCCGCCCTCCGGTAACAGTGGAAGGCTTCTGATTCAACTGCTCGGAGTTTCTCCTTGGCCATAACGGAGAATCTCACCAACTCGTGATCGCCTTGTCCACGAAGGGGTTGGTCACAGGTGTCGTCCACCAAAGGATCGCCGCCAGTTATAACGCAGTCAAGTAGTAATATTTTTCCATCTGGTCCCCACTAAGTGTTCTGCTCAACTTTTTCCATTAGTCCTGCTGCTACGAATGTGCTTCAAGGTGTCTGTCCGAAAGATTTATGTATGAGGCTTACTGCACGTCCCGTGTTAAGTGCCGGTGTGTTAAGGCCTCCAGCTAGGGCTACATGCTCATAGGCTGCCAAGGTGGGCATTGAAATCGAAGTGATCCTTTCATGACCATGCTCTTTTTTGCATAGAGGAGGCCTGTATACCACCCTGGTCAGTACTTTGTTGGGTTTATGGCGAGACAGCACTGAAAGGATTCTGGCGGTTGGCCAAACACATTACCAGTCACTTCTTTGGCTTTCAGCTGCGCACGATTATATATGACCACTCCGCTTCCCTCTTTACCTGCCCTTCAGAACAAGGTTATGTTAGTTACGGAAGTTCCCTGACGGAAGACATCTGACAATGGTCGCGTCTCCGAAATGAAACTTATGTCTGCATGCGGATGAAAACGCATTGCTCTTAGCTCCAGTAGTTTATTTCTGGGACCCCTTATATTCCTGTGTGAAACACGTCACGAAGCCAAAATCTAGGGTTGGTGCGGTACGGGAACTTGTGTCGAGGTTGCTGTTCGTTGAATCGGATGCTGTTTGCCGGTCCCTGCTGAGGTGGCAAGCCTCTTTCTTTTGGTTCTTACGGCAGTCCTGGTGTAGCGAAAGTGCTCATCGTCATGTCTGTGGGCATTAGTTCACTTCGTAGTCCCTCAGTAACAAGCACTGCCCAAAGCGCTGTAGTAGGTTACCTTCTACCTTCCAGTATACTGGGCTGTGGTTTGATTTCGTAACATCGTACAAAGCTTGTTATTTGATCTTCTGCTCAACTCCATGCCACAAGGACCTCTCTGAGCAATGCTTCGGAGTAGAAGCGCTTAGCTAGTGGCCTGGGCGAAGAGGTGCTCCACAGGTGTGCATCCTGGTGAGTGCTGCCAGATAAGTTTCCTGGTCCTAATTTTGCCACTAGCCATCTCTACTGCTCTACATCATGGGGGCAATGATCACATTTTTTCTATCCACCCATCAGTTCGGGTGTTCCGTACACCACCATGGCATCAGCCCTGTGCAAACCACTAAAGCCGGACTTCTTTTTCACCGCTCTAGTAACCCATGATTTATGTCTTCGCTCTTATGTAACAGAAGCTTGTGGCGCCTGGTGTATTAGATGTCAGTACTACTTCTCCGACCATTTCGCTACCATTGTTGACGCCGTGAGGGGTAATGGCTTATCTCGAACTATCTTATTTCCTCAGGAGAGCCGGCATAAGTTGACTGCAACAGGTTCTATTCCTAGCTTTTCGCAGTGATTATCCCAGTTTCCCCTGTCAAGCTGCTCTTTTTTCTAAGAGTAAGTGTCATGATGTGGGGACACTAAACAAGATGATGGAATGTGTTTTCTTGTCTCCTGGGTGCAGGGTATTGAGTTTGATAGTCACTGAGTTGCTCTACCATTTCCTGTATTCACTCCGGTCACTCTACCGTCAACACAGTCTATGTCTTCAGGTAGTCCCATTTCCCGGTCCGCCTTGGCTCCTTCAACACTGGGAGTGAAGATCTCTCAGGTGACCAGCATGAGGTAGAAACTGGTAGTTTCTTTGGCCATACGTTTCCACGCCTGTGGCATAGGTGTATGTGGAGCATGGTCTGTCTCTATGGATAAAATGTGGGAGCACAAATCTCGTGGCATCTCGAGTTATGCCGAATTCCTTGGTTTGCCGGTCCTTAGGTCGGGTAATTTCTGATGCTTCCGACATGCGTGCCTCCACGTCC